AAGCTTGGTGTTCCAAGGTGTTCTAGGAGGGGGCATGCCTGCTGGGGATGTGAGGCCTCACTGCCCCATCCTCACTCCCCATAAGCCTCTTACTCCTTTCATTAAAGGGAGGCCAGTCCTTAAAATGGGCATGCCAACAACTGGGCCTGCAGTTGGGAAGAGTCTGCTGTGGGGAGGAAGCCCCAAGTCCAGGGCACCTGGCACCCCCCACCCTGAGCAAGAGGTCTCACACAGCATATCCCACACTCACCCAGGCTTGGGGGTTTTTAAATTTTTATTTCAAAAGCTTGGATAGCTTTAATATCCAGGTTGTGGCAAAATCAGGACACGTGTAAAATACCTTACAATACATTAGATTCCCAAAAGGTACCAAAAAGTACAGTAAAATTAACACTTCCATTACAGGAAATGTATGACACAAATAATATAAAATTAAAAGGTGAAAAAAAGGTGACACTGGTTTCCTAAGATACAATTTGCTCTTTACAACCAGGGTCCACAGGTTCAGGCTGCAGAGCAGCAGCAGGAAGCAGAGCCTCCCATCTGGTTCTGGGGGACCTGGTAATAAAAATCAGCCCATAATGCCACTCTGGCCTCTCAGACACCACACCCTGCCTAAACAACTAGAGCTCTGGAAATAGTAAACAGGAGAGTGATTTCCATGGGGGAAATTTTAAATAAGATGCACATGGGACAGGCCATAGAAAGTTTGTCAAGTTAAATTTGGTACATAATTGTGTTCACTCCATATCCAAACAAAGCATGTGTGCAGTCAGTTGGTCGCTCCTGCTGCCGCCTCAGTATGGCTTGTAGTTATTCTGATGGCCACCACGTCGCTGGCTCTTGCCGTAGTTTGTACTACCCTGACCTAGGGATGAGAACAACCATAGCAGCTACTATTTATGAGCATTTGCCCTGTGCCAGGCGCTTGATATGCATCTTCATAGGCTCCTTACCAGCCCTGGGACAACAGATTGCCTTCCTCACCTTACTAAGACCTAGAAGTCTATAAGGGCTCAAAACCAAGTCGCTCCCATGGCTGAGCCAGGCCTGTCTGACTCCAAAGCCCCTGCTGCCGGTGGCTCCTGCACTGTCTGTCCTGCCTCCCCTGGGGGCGGTGAGTGGATGGGGCCTCCGTCTCTCCTACTTACTGTAGTCGTAGCCGGGGCCGTAGCCGTAATAGCCATAGGGCGAGTAGTCGTAGCCGCCATAGCCAGGCCCGTAGCCCTGCTGGTAGCCGTAGCCCTGGTTCCAGTAGTTGCCGTAGCCCTGATTCCAACTCTGACTCTGACCTGTGGGGGGAGCAGGGCACAGGGGCCCGTGGACCATTTAGCATATGCAGGAGCTAGGATGGAGGAAATCCTGCCCTTTGGGTGGCAGGTTACTATGGCAACTCAGGCAGAAGCCAAGGGGCTGCTGTTCTGGTGTACAGGGCCCTAGGCCCAACCCTGCATCTAAGAGACCCAAGCAAAGGATGAAAGACCAGGATGCTAACTTTACTCAGGGTAAACAAGGCAGCTCACTCACTCAGTCACTCTCTGATCACTCCCACTCTCCTTGGCAGCTTGGCCTTTAAAAAGATACAGTTCAGGCTTTGGAGTCAGAGGGGCCTGGGATGGAAGGGGATAAACGCCTGGCACAGCTCTGCCCTACCCACCCTTCTGCCTACCTGCTCAAAGGTGTTCCAGACTGAGGACATCTACAGAGCCAAGACATCCATTATGTCCCCTTCCCCAGAGTATAACACAAATGCTCTCTGCCCCGGGCACCCAAGCCATTCCAAGGGGCAGCAGCAGGCAGCAACAGCCTCAAGCACACAGCCCCCACCCAGAGCCATTCCTATTCCTGCTCATTCCCCACCTTCCACAGTCTGCCCACCCTTGCTGCACAGCACCAAAGGGAGCCCCAAGACAGGCATGGAAGGCTCCATGTAGGTAGACAAACAGGACCCATCTTCATCCAGGTTCTACTCACCTCCACCTCCACCACCACCTCCGCTGCCTCGGTTCCCTCGGTTGCGGTTTCCACGGCCCCCAGAGCCATACTGCTGCTGCTGATAAACTTCTTTAGGCTGGGCCACCTTGATCTCACACTAAAATGCCAAGAGGACAGTGGTCAGGCCAGGAGGACAAGCTCAGGGCAGTGACTGCACAAAGACCTTCACTGCAACAAACATTCAGATGGTAGATCAGGTCCATTTGCTTAACAAACAAAATATACTACTGTGGAAAGCCACCTGTGGGCTAAAGCTCATGGAACCCCAACTAAAACTGAGGGCCTTCCAGCCGAGACCCTTTCCCACAGCCCCAGGGCAACTCCATGTCTAACCGGGGCCAACTGCAGCCCAGGGGAGCACAGGACAGGCTGGGAGCAAGAACTACACCTTGGTCCTACTGGGCATGAAGGTCAGATAAGACTTCTCAAATGAGGGGCCTTAGAAAATGAAGTTTTAATATCTTTTTCTCTTTACAGAAGAAACTCATCTCATTCAAATACACGCTATTGAGAAGGTGACCCTGACCACCCTCTTACAGATAAAGCCAGCTTTCAGAAGCTCAGGGTGGGTGGGGGGCCTGCCTGAGGCCATAATGCTACCCACCCCTTCTTCTTAACCACTGGTCTGCTGTTGGCATAGGCCAGACATCTGCATCCCCTCAAGTCAATTTCCTTTTTGTCCACTGGGGGTGGGTTCAAGTAGGGCGGGGTACTTTCAAGTGCTACTGCTTAAATAAGTTAGACCAGACCAGCATATTTCTAAGGAAAATGCTGATACACACCCCCATTAAAAATAGTACATTTTAGTGTCCCCAATCATACTTTAATTGGCAAATTAAAATAATGCAATCTGATTTAGTCTATCATACTGAATTAAAAACACTGAATACAACCAACTAAATATATTTATTCCTAAGACTCACTCCCAGTAGTTTCACTTAAACCCTGCCTTAGAGGCTTTTCCCACCCATTTCCCATTATGGCACAGAGAAAAAGGCCTCTTTATTACTGTCCACTGGAGTAATAATCAGTGCCCCCCAACTGCCTCTCAGACTTGTCGTTTTACAGAAAATTTAAGACAATCCTAATCCAATCCTCCCAAACTCCCAGCCAGGAGACTTCCAGGAGCTCCACCTGTACCACCTCATCTGGCTGCCAAGTCCAGCTCAGATACAAGAAACTGCCACACCCTGCCACTGCAGGCCACACCCTCAACTCCTAACTGCCAACTTGAATTCTGAACTACCCTCTCCCTGACCAGAGTTCAGGAGAGTTACACCTCTCTGCACATGATTCCACTCATTTCAAAGTAAAGCTGACCCTGGATTTAAGGTGGTCAGGACCCTGGCACCTCTTTGAAAGGATTTTTGCCTGGGTATAGGGTTGATTTAAAGAAGTGCCCAGAAGACCAAGTGAGATGGTTCATGCCTGTAATCCCAACACTTTACAAGGCCAAGGCAGAGGACTGCTTGAGCCCAGGCAACATAGTGAGATCGGCTTTAAAAAAACATATGTGCTAGGCCTGGTGGTGCATGCTTCTGGTCCCAGCTACTAGAGAGACTGCAATGGGAGGATCCCTTCCATCCAGGAGGCCAAGGCTGCAGAGAGCCATGATTGTGTTACTACACCCCAGCCTGGGCAATAAAGCAAGACCCTGTCTCAAAGCAAAAAGAGAGTACTCAAAGCAGATGGAAGTGGACAAAGATTTGGTTTAGAAGAAGGCAGAAAGGCTCTGGAGCAAGAAAAACTTCACCACAGAGGAAAATCAGTGAGTTGCATAAGTTCCGGGATCTTCTGAGACCTTAACTGCAGGCTTCATACACCCTGGACTCAAGAATCTAGAACACTGTCACCTCTGGCTTTAAATGAGGAACCAAAGAGGCTACCCAACCTGTTGTATTCAGAGGCCACCTTCTCCTGCCTCCTTCACATCCTGTATTGTTTACTAGCAGTCCTCCCAGCCTGGGAATTCTCTGAAGGATGGCAACACTGCCCCAACCAGGGCAGCATATGCTTACTTGGAGAGCTCCTGCAGGTGGCCCAGCCCCTAACCCACCAGTGTAAGGGCCAGCTCTCCAGCACCACAGGAGACCAAGCAGGGCTGGGGACACCTTACCTTGCTTCCACTGATAGTATGAAACTTTTTCTCCAGAACCTTCTTTACAGGTTCTTCTTCTTTAAAGGTGATAAACACAAAACCTCGTCTTTTGTTCAACTTAGGATCCATTGGAAGTTCAATGGCCTCAATCTGCAAAAAGCAGAGGCAAACTCAGGCCCAATACTTCCCTAACCCCAGGGAATACAGGGAACTCACAGGAGAAAAGACCCCACTGAAGGCAAGAAATAGTGAAAAGTAAGCCCTGCCTGGGAGGGTCTAGCCAGCCAAGGATACCAAGGACCAGAACGAAGGCAGTCTTAGGGCGGCTGGTGGGCTACTCCCAGGGCCACACTCACCTCCCCAAAATCGCCGAAGTACTCCCTGATCTTTTCCTCAGTGGCTTCAGGATTCAGACCCCCGACAAAGATTTTCTTCACCGGGTCCTTCTTCATAGCCATGGCCTTTTTAGGGTCAATGACACGGCCATCCAACCTGTGCTCCTTCTGGTCTAGAACCTGTTCCAACATAAAGGGGTCAGGCTCTGACTCAACAGCATGAGCCAGACAAGGCCCTTCTCTCTAAGCCATAAAGACACCAGCATAGATACAAAAATGTGTTTCATCACCTCCAAATTCTATCCCAGCTTATTAACCTCCCAACCCACTTTTCTTCAAACCTCAAGTACAGCTGGTTTACCTCGACAACTAGAAACCAGTCCTCACCGCTGAGCCTTTGATCATGCTATGTACCCTCTTCCTGCCCATGCAATCCCAGCGTGAGGCCCATCTCCAGAAGCAAAGCAGCAGGGACTCAGCATAGGCTTAAGATGGGCTGCAGGGGATGGAATCCTCGCTCCACACCCTTACTAGCTGTGATCTCCTCTACTTAAATCCCTGTGAGCCTTAGGGTTTTGCTTTTTGTCCTATAAAATGGGGCTAAAAGTCTATCTCATAGCAATTTTGGACTCTCTTGTAATCCTCCCAGATGTTTGGCACGGTACCCAGAATAGGTACATAAAAGATACTGTCAACTATAATCTTCCCAAACCGCTCCAGCACATACTCTTGACTCCCAACTTTTATTTTTATCCCCTCAAAAACTGGAACCTAACCTCTGGCTTTGCCCAAAGCACTCAACCACATGCAGAACACAAAAAACTAGTTATGCTGTAGGAAAGGTGTCCTCTTAGAATTCAAATCGTTTCCACTGAGACTGCTGAAATCCAGTACCCAGCTTACCTTCTCCACACTGGCCGCATCTTTGAACAGGATAAACCCAAACCCTCTTGACCGTCCAGTGTTGGGATCCATTTTTATTGTACAGTCAACCACCTCTCCAAATTTAGTAAAATAGTCTTTTAAATCTTTTTTGCTGGTATCCCAGCTCAGGCCACCAACGAACATTTTTCTGAAATGGTAGAGTGAGACACACGGCAACAAGTCTTAAGCAAGCTGTGATTTTGGGAAGGACTGGCCCTGGCAAAGCTCGCACAAAGTTTACAGCGACCCTTAAGAGTCTTCAAGGTGCACGTTTGAAGGATGTTAAATCTCCACTACCCTCCAAATTCAACCAAACCAGGACCCTAAAGGCTTAACAAGGCTTTGCAGCCCCAGGCTGTGAGAAGCAAAGAAAGGACCAGCTCACCAGGCGTATGGGCCCTGACCACTCACACCTGGAAATTCATGTGTTCTACAACCATGTATCAAAGGGCCAGCGTCTTCACCACCTCCTGAGAACTAATTTCAAGGAACTCGAGGCTCCCGGGGGCCAAGCCCGCCCAGGGTTCAGAACACGACTCCGCCCCCGAGAGAGGCGGAGGAGGACGGTCCGGGGCCGAAGCACGCCAACTCCGCCCACGCAGCCCCGGGGCGGCCCGAGGAGCTGCCGCGGGGCCCCGGGTCCGTGCACTTTCCCTCTTCCGGGCCGCCCGCCCCTGCGCCGGCTTCGGCCCAGGCAGCGCGCGAGCGGCCCTGGGGCGGCGCCAAAGTCGACCCAACAAACTCCTGCAAACTCCAGCGCGAGCGGCAGCGCCAGGCCCGGCCCGCGAGTGCGGCGGGGACGATCCGTAGGCCGCCCCAGCCTCGACCCGAGCCAGGCCGCCGCCCCTCCCCCCGCCGCGTGGCGCCAACAAAAGGCGGCCCCGGAACAAAGGCGGCGCCCCCGTCCTCCCGCGGCCGCACCTACCCCGCGTCTTCCTCATTCTTGCTGGCGTTGATCTGGTCGCCCTCGGCGCCGTTCTGATTCCCGCTCGGGGGCGCCACGGTCGCGCCTCCAGCCCCTGCCGTGGCGCCCGCGCCAGCCCCGGCCGGCGACTCGCCTTCGGGGGCGGCCTCGTGTCCGTTCTCGGTGGCACCCGTCGTCTCCATGGGCTGCTCCTCGCCCGCTTCCGACATCCTAGGCCGAAGCGCGGCGGCTCCTGCAACCAGCGGCGACAGCGCGTCAGGCCGGTGCGGCTCCCGCCTGCCTCCTGCCTCCCGCCGCCCGCCGCCCGCCGCTCACCTCGCCGCCGATGACGCCGCGGGGCCCGCTCGTCCCCACCCGCAGGGAAAGGCGCCGCGAGCTCGGCCGCACTCAAGCTCGCGCTGCTGAGGCCTCCCCTCAGTCACGCGACGGAGCTTTTCCAGCTGTGTCTCCTTCTCCCGGGCCGCGACCGCACGAGAACCTACCAGCCAGCCCACAACCGAGCTCCCGCCCGCGCGGTGCTGCCGCCTGACAATGCCGACTCGTGGCGCCCTTTATAATGCCGGAGCCGGGGCCCCCCACTTCGCAACAAACTGCACGCTCATTGGCTGTTCAATCCCGTCACTCAGCCTGATAGCAGCCTCCCATTGGGCTTGGTGGCGCGCGCGCTCTAGATCCGGGCGGGCTTTGTCCTCATTTAGAACGGGTTCTGCCCTGCGGAGGGTTCCCGAAGCCGGGCGGGACGGCGCCAAGTTCAGGTTGGCCGGACTGCAGCCACAGCATAGCGCTGGGAGAGCCTGACTGTACTGTACTCTCGTCGAGGCGGTAATCTCTCGCTTTCGTGCGCTTCATTCCAGCATTGGCAGCCTCCTCCTCCCCATGCCCCAAAAGAGGAAACTGGGCCGGAGAAAGTTTCGCAGCCCAAGGTTGCGTCGCTTGAAGTGGCAGAAGTCAGGCTTCTGAGGTTGGGCTAGTGGGGTCCTCCAAGGCCCTCAGCACGGCTCCGAGGGATTGGAACGTAGCCCGCCCTCTCCCTGGACCTTGGTGCTCTCCAAGCCCTGTTCTTGCGCCCTTTCTGCCGCCTCCCCCAGAGATGCTCGGCAGGGACGATGAGACCTTGGTGTTATCCGATCTTCGGTTCCCTGGCACCACCTTGACTACGGACATCGCATTTGTACTTCTGTTTACTTAAAATTTTTCCTTCAAATCAATCCATTTATTTGTGTTTGGATTTCTTTCTTTCTTTCTTTTTTTTTTTTTTTTAATTGAGACAGAGTCTCGCTTGTTTCCCAGGCTGGAGTGAAGTGACGCGATCTGAACTCACTGCAACCTCCGCCCCCTCTTCAAGCAATTCTCCTGCCTCAGCCTCCCAAGTAGCTGAGATCACAGGCGAGTGCCACCACACCCGGCTAATTTTTGTATTTTTAGTAGAGACGGGATTTTGCCATGTTGATCAGGCTGGTTTCGAACTCCTGACCTCAGGTAATCTGCCCGCCTCGACCTGTCTAAATGCTGGGATTACAGACAGGCATGAGCCACCGCGCCCGGCCAGTGTTTCGTTTTCGTTTGTTTGAGACATGGGTCTTGCTCTGTGGCCCAGGCTCGTCTCAACTGCTGA